CGCTGTTAAGTTTCACTGCAGCCGCTGTTAAGTGGCGCTGTAATTGCAAGCGTTGTTAAGGCTCGCTGTTATTGGGATCGCTGTTAAGGGAACACTGTCACTTTTATTGCAATTTGCATAACAGAGGCCGAGGCTGTTATGAATGAAAACATTTTATTTTCTATTTATTGTTTGTTGAACAAGACAAATCTTCGTGATTTCATGTAAGAAGGAGTTACTTAGTTTTCTATTGATTAATTATTTGCTTATGTTTTATTTCTCATATTTTTTCTTGACAAAACTAGCAAAAAAAAATGTTTTGAAAATAGCAAGACATAAAAGACCAGCATTACTTTAACGGTCTGAAATAATACGGTGGGGTCTTCTCATGATTATGATTATTTGATAAAAGTCAAGATTAAAGTAATCTACAGTGTAGGACTTCAAAATTGTATTTCCTTTCGAATACTTTGTGGATCACTTGATAGATGTGTAAAAATCTACAATTAGTCTGTTTTAATTCTTCGCTATTAAATCACAACTCACTCATTTATCCACTCTTTTTTGCCCTTTGCAGAACAATTAAATTCAACATGAAAAACAAAAGTTTAAGAAAAAATTAATGGTATTCGAAAGCACACCTTTTAATTTCATAAGCAATTCAGAAATAATAACCAATTTCCATAGACATTCTTAATGAAATAGTTATGCTCACAGACATGGCCAGCAGCTCCTCATACTACATACAATCGAAGTATACTGCTTCATTAAGTCACAACTTTCGCACCCATTATTTGGGTTATTTATTCAGTCATTTTCGTTTTCGTATTTTGTGTTTGTTGGCTGATTATAACTAGAAAGGGTGATGGTATAATTGAGCAATAAAAGCCGCTACAATATAACAATAAAGGCAAAAAAAAAGAAGAAGTAAAACCAGCAGCTTAGCGACAACAATGCAAATAATGTATAAAAAATGGAAATAATGGCAACAGCATTCGGGTAATTATTGACATATTTGTGGGTTAACCAATTTCTTTTATGGCCACTAATGCGTTTGCACGCGCAACGAACAGTAAATGTATGTGAGTATCTATGTATCTAGTATTTGGCCATGTAACTACGCTATCTGCGCGCATATCGCATTAATGACCCTTTGTTGTGTGCTTTTTATTCTATTTTTGTCGCTGTACAGCGCCAGCCACCATTTGCTGTTTGTGTGTTTGTTTGTTTGTTTGTTTGTTTGTTTGTTTAGCCAAGAAGTTCGCATTGCAAATCAAATATTTAAGGACCGCTCGCTAATAGTATTAATTGGTTCGCGTTATCCCTGTGAAGCGTCATGGCAGCCTTGCATGTCCTTGCCTTTCACTTCATTTAACTAATTAGCAAGTCATGGCGAGAGGCGACACTAATTGATTGATTGACTGACATGACACACACACATACACACAAATATAAATAAATAGATTTTCCGGCTTCCTGCCATGCCATCCACCCTTGATTGCTTCTCTCCTTGCTTCCGTTCTTCCTTCCTGCCATGTCCCCACCTGCCATTTATGGCTCATCAATATTATCTAATTGGACAGCCATGGCGTTCGAGTATCAGTATCATAAATAATTTTAATATTTGATAAGCAAATTGGCAGCGTTGTTAAGTCACACGACTTACTCGACTTACTCGACTTACTCGACTTATTGCCATTGATGGAATTTGTTTATGCTTGCATTAAATATACAAGTATAAGTATAGGTAGGGTGTATGTGGACAAACACTCGAGTGTCGCTGGTATTATTGGTATTATTACTTATTGGTTCTACAGTGGAGCTCCATTCTCTCCATTCCATTCCATTCCATTCATATTGTCGTTCTAAGAAAAGACACAATTCATTGAATGAAGTATTTTCGTTGTTAAAGAATTGCTCGTCTTTTTACAAAAGATAAACACACGTAAGATAAACAATGAAAGTTCTTTGTTTATTCATCAACTAATAAAATGATATGAGATCATACACACAATAATAAACAAGAACTTTATGCGTCAAGGTCTGCCTTTTTGCTTTGTGGAGCTTTTTACAAATTTGCATAAAATGTTTATTTTTCCTGAGACTATCAATAGTCGCCCAAATCTATCGTTTAACTTTAACTTTTGCTAAATTATAGACAGATTTAGATGATGTAGAACACACCTGAATATTACAGGTTGATCTCAGTCCACCATCACTACAGAGCGATGACGCTCAAGACTCTAACAAAACTAGAACCTTCTTTACACTCATAAATTGTTTTGCCATTCTATTCCATAGTTGCTGAGAACTACCTCCTAAATTATACTTTTTGAACATTTTTAACTCAATTTCTCGTCTAAAGAGCGACTGAAATGCTTATTGACTCCGAAGTTATCGCAACTATTTTATATTTTTAGCCGCATCATATTTAATAGAACGGTCTAACACATCTTCTTTACGACGTAAGGCGTAACTTAACTAAATATTAAGGCTAAATAGAGGAATGCTGAGTTTAAACATAATTTGTTTGTTTCTAAACCGCTATATACGCTAGACATGCAGGCACACTGCCTTCTTAATAACTCAATGATTTGAACAATGTTTGAGCATATTGATGAACTAATCTTTTCATCGATTGATGTATTAAATCAGAGATTAACTAAGCTACGAGATGAAAGGCTGTTAAAGATGATACGAAACTCATACTGCATGGTCTCAGAAATCGGTTATATGTGAAAAGAACTTGAAATAGCTTCTAAGCACGATTGTTGGTAATATTAAAGAATTTGGAGGTCGTTAATACATCATGACAAAAAGATTTAGTATTACAGAAAAGATGACGGATGACTACGAATGCTGACGTTTTACGATATTGAACAAAATTAGGAGAATGTGAAACCGTCTAATTTTAAATACCTAAATTTCAAAGTTGTGGGTCGTCTATACTAAATTCAATTAGGAAATTAAGCGGAAAATTTGCTTTTTACATGAAATTAAATACATAAGTTAAGTTAATTTGCTTGCTAATCTGTCGTGAAATTGTTCCCCTAATGCCAATGCTTGAAGAATCCATTGGTTTGTGTAATTTTCTGTTAAGTGGCAATTCAAACACACTTGAACGCAATTGCTGCGATTGCGTTTGTTGTTTTCGATTAGATATATAGTATTTATAATGCCATTGCATGTCTGAAATTAACGGCAAGTGAATTTATTTTTCCTTTCGCTCGCTATGCAGATCTTGCCGAAGTATTCCATTTGGGCCATGCGTTTAATATCTTAACGCATACTTCGGCTTACTCATACACAGATTTATTGTTGTACCGGCTATATAGAAGTAGTGATTGTCGATTGTGATTGTTTTCTGCGGCAAATCAAAATTATCTAATGGATTTCCAGTGCCATGCGCCGTGTTTTTAGTATTTCGAGATATGTACGATATGATTAATTTTGTCGCTGTCTGTGCCATTAGTCTAATCACAATAATGGATTCGATAGATAGTGTGCAACGTCACAGAACAAGTCCAATAAATAAAAGTGGGCTGTTTGATAAGCCATCTTTTTAAACCAGAAATATTTTGAACTTTTGAAATTTCCATTTCGATTTCTCTGCCAAAGAATATAGAAATAATTTAGATTATTAAACGATTCAAATAAATGGCAATGAAAGGTATATATTGATTTGCTGAACCTAACATATTCAGAACTCAGCATTACAAGAACAAGAAAATACTAGAACAAAACTATATGGAAGAAAACACTTTCCGTAGAATAAGAAATAGGAAAAAGAAAGCTACAAGTATGTCCATTATCCGTCACAGCCATACGATGTTTCAAACATCTTCAACGTTTTTGGAACCAAACGGTTCCTAAAGCTGAAGAGTCCCTAGAGTAAGAAAATAGATACAATGTTCCAAATATCTTCAAAGTTATTGCAGACTTGCAGAAAGAAATGCTGAATAGTGTGTAGAGAGAACTAGAAAGTAATTCTTTCAACTATGTTAGGGATATCAATGAAATCATTGATTTGGGCAAAGAAGAATATAATTCAAAGATTGGTTTGAAAAACTAAAACATCGTCAGCTATTCATAAGCGCCATCCATCGTCAAATACCTCTTAAATAGTCCCAGTAAAAGAACCAGTCATTTGCGGCATGGAATTCTTCCAAAATGGTGTGAAGGAAGGCGTGATAAAAATGCTAGATCATTGTAAACACGTTTATGCGAATATAAATACAAAACATTATACCTCAGTTTGAAAACACGATAAGGCGTTATCATTGAAATAAATGTAGATTTTTGTGGAAAGGTCTCGATTCTATTTAATTGTATGCTCGACTGTTCCATTTCTCCACTCTGTTCTGTTTATCTTTGTATTTCAATATTTATTTAACTGACTGTTCAAATTTTTCAAGATGTGTGTCTCACTTTGTCTGTCTGTATAAGTCTCTGTCTGATCCAAAAAAAAAAAGAAGCAAAAAAAGAACAACAGCAATAAACCCATTTGCAGGTGCTGACCGCGAGCAGCGTAATATTGATAGAGCTCGTATCGGATCAAAAGTATAGCAGTCAGGCGATGTTGGTCTGTGGCACTCTGTCAGGTTATCTAATAATTTGCAGCATACTGACCATAGGTAAAATAGTTTTGATAGTGGAAGTCGGGCATCACCCATCACTGCCTACATTCTTCTAGGACATCTCATTGGAGCCTGCATCGATAGACGGATCGATATTTTGTACAGTCTCGCCGCTATCGTTCTTTTCATGGCCACGGGCGGCATTATCATCGGTAGCTGGGCCACCAATCATAGCTACAGTGATAGGAATGCCCTTCTGGCCGCCGGCTCATTGGCCTTCCTCAATGGTGTCGTCTTCATAGTGGACACCCTCGTCATATTCCGTGCCAAATGATCTCTTTTTCATTCGCTGCCTTCAAGAAATAAAACCACTTTAGAAATCCCACACTTGTGCTAACTAATCATGATCTTGTCTTTCATAACCACTTCTTATAACTACTTCAGGGCATTGCCATTGCCTGCATTGTCTTGAGCGAGGTCGTTGGAAAACTATCGGAGCATCCGCTTATCGTCTTCGGTACCATTGGCGGATTCACCGTTATTTGTGGCGTACTGCTCATCGGTAAGTACTACTGTCTAGTGTTGTTGTGTTGTGCCAAATTGGCTCGAACTAGTTCGCTACAATTGGTTCAAAATTTATAGTTTGCAAGAACGAGTCGAAAATAAATGAAAATCAGCTAATTTTAAATGGCGTTTAATAACTTCTGAGATTCTTAAAGCAATCTTTGATTAATTGAGAATAAATAAAAATGAACTAAAAAACATATGTTTTAAGACTTATTATTAAAGTTTTGCAAACAAAAAAAAAAACATTTGCTGTTCCTAATTTGTAAGAAAGAGCTGACGATAAGCTGATGAACAGTTGATGAAAATAAGCAATAGAACCAATGATCATTGTAGGAACCTAAATGAACCCAAGAACTAGAAAAGCTGATGTAAAGCTAATGATAATAAACAGAAGAAACAATGATCATTAAAGGAACCCAAGAACTAGAAAAGATGACGAACAGGTGATGATAATAAACAAAAGAACCAACGATCATTAAAGGAATCTAGGAACTAGAAAAGCTGATGAACAGCTGATGATAATAAACAAAAGAACCAATAATCATTAAATGAACCTAAGCAATGAACTAGTTCAGCTTACAAAACTAAGCCACAACGCACAACTCTGACACATATTCATATGTATGTATATTTTTTCGTCCAAGATTATCTAAAACTTCCTGTCTTTTCTCGCTCCGCACAGGTCACATCCTCAACTCGATTGTAGAGAAGCGTCTGAATGCACTCTTCTCGCTGCTGGGCTGCGTCTTCTTCGTGGTGTCCGGCGCTTTGGTGATCGATGAGTGGCACGATAGCTTCGAGTTCATGAAGGAGCGCAAACGTAATGCCCTCGCTGCCGGCTCCCTGATGATCATCAATGGCGCCGTCTTTCTACTGGATACTCTATCCATTTGCAGAACGTAAAGTGTTTTTGAAACTCGCTTGCAACCCATACACCGCTACATATCCATAGATATTTGTATTTGTATCTTCTTTTTTTTTTAATATTGTGCTAAATCGAAATTCTCATCATGGACGCTTCTGTGTCTCATATGCTAAAAGTTCGAAAGTAAGAAAAGAATCTGAAAACACACACAGGTCGTCTAAAGCTATCAAAATATTATATACATATACATACATATATGTAACTATATATTTGTGTGCGTAATATATATATATATATATTTTTTTTTTTGTACTTGTCTATTTGATATGTAATGTATTTTTTGTGAATCTTTATATAAACATAAATATACATATTTGTATTTACTACTATAAGCACAGATGGCGAACTCAGCTGAATAACAAATTGTTAACAGGAATCCATTAAATATAAACACACACACATATATATACAGCAATTACATACTACATACTATATATGAACAAAATACATGCACGTGCGTGAAAAATGTTTTATAATTGTCACATAATTACTTGCTGGCGTTTTTCTTGGAAATCTCTCACACATCTAGCGTCACGTCACATAATACATAATACCTGCCCTGCCCAGCCCTGTCTGTCTGTCTGTCTGGTTTGGTCTATCTCTACAGGGACAGTGAAATCTGTATGCCTTGGACTTCTCAGACATCATCCTTTAAGAGTTGCTGATGTTGGTTTTCATCGAATCCATCGTTCTTCTGATTTTTTCAGTTCAGAGACGATCAACAACATGATCCAATTTAATTCATAATGAAAATTACAGTCAGAAAAAGAATCATTTACCATTATATCTTTGTGTTGATATAAGAGAAGAAATATCAGCAAAGCATTACAACGGATCTTATAAACTTATATTCAATCAATTTTAATATTTGGCTGACTTTTCTTGTCAATATAGTCTAGAGGCTCTTTGCAAGTCTTCTACTGAAATAATGATTTTCATGAAATGAATATAGATATAGTTGCTTAGCAGCTACAGATATATTAGTACCCGATACATACGATCGGTCGTAAAATAGGGACTGCTTGCGGTTCTAATTCCTATGAACACACAATAAATGTTTCAATTAGTTGTTTTACATTGTAGGATCACTCTAAGTAGTTACCGATATATAATATATTTTTGAGCAACCGATAAGGATATACAAACGAGTATTTAAACGGAGAACTAGCCGGAGTGCGACGGTAAATGTTAATGAAATTAACTTTAAAGCCAATCGTGTTTTACTATTCTCCAAAAGCGAAACATTTTAATTGCAAGAAATAGAAGAGTATTTTAAATTTTCAGCAGTATTTTAAATTTTATTCTTTATATTTAAAAGAGTACCAGAAGTCGAAATTATTTGAGATCGTTGATTTTGCTTTTTTTTGCCTATTTATTTTTTAAAACCATAAATAATTATTATTGATTTTATTCACCTAAGCTTTGTAGTTGAAAAGCAAATTATTTTCCTACTTGTATTAAGCAATTTTATTAGCAGCTAAAATTTTTAAATTCGCTAAAATGTATCGAAACCGATTGACCAAAAATATAGTGAATTGATCAAATTTATTACCATTTGCTATATAATTGAAGTTTCTTTCTATAAATAAATATCATAAAATGAAAGTGAAATGAATTCCAATTGCATAAAATTCCACAGTTAATTTCCATAAATTTGATCGACTTTTCATTCCCTAATTTGATAAAATGTATTAAAATCAGTTGAAATTATTCAAAAGAAATATATTAAATTAAATACCATTTGCTTTGCTATATAATAAATTCTTTTAATATTTAGTAAGAGTGTTATTGAAAGAGACTGAAATTAATTCCAAAATTAATTTCGAAAATGTAATCGAGCTTTGAAATGGGAAGAGGCTTCCTTTGTATATGCATGGATTATAGTTTTTTATGAACAGCTAATGAGTTCAACATACAGATATTTTACTGTACACACACATAAACACACACACATATTTAAACATAATAACGCCTTCATACTTATTATTTTTTTGGAGTGCAGGCAACATTTTTGTGTCAACTCTTCAAGTTTACTTTCATTTTTTCTCTACTTCTTTGCATTGTCTTTTTGCTCTTTGATTAGTAATAGTATTATATTTCGCATTTGTTATTGCTGCTGCTGGTACTGTTGTTGTTTTGCTTGCGGAGTTATAATTAAGCAATTTATTTTATTAATAATTATTTAACGTTTGTTTATTCTTCTGTTCTTTTTTTAATTTTTTAACCCTCACGACTCTTTTGTAGACGCTCTGTGGTGCCGGTGCTGAAAGAACAGCCCAAAAACAAAGTCGAGATCAATCGATTTTAGCTTCAGACATTATACGAATACATAAATATATACTTAGTATGTGTATGTGTGAGGGCTATGCCGCCAAAGACTTGAAACCGCGTTGTGATTTAAAAATATGGTTTTTCCTTTTCATTTTTTTTGTTGTTCTTCTAGTAATTTATTTATAATAAGTCTTAAATCATTCTGGGCAGCTTTAGTTGCTGGTTGCATTGCCGCAGGCAATGACATTGTTCGTAAGGTTAGATCAAAATATATATAGTATATATAATTTATATATAAAACTGACAATAGTAGGCACATTATTCAAATCAAAATAGTGTTCAAATAGGCAAAACAAAATAAATGCACAACCAGAACAGAAAAACCATCTAAAATTAACAAAATTGAAATGAACAAACCCGTCGAGAAGGAGCAAAAGGACACCGAGAAGCGGTTGGTGTCCTGTGATTTTGAGATTCGTGGCAAGATTCCCAAAGATAAGTTCGAGCCTTTTGCTTCATCTCAGGCGCTAATTCTAGGCGTTTTTGGCTACATCGAACGAGTATCTGATGAATGCTTGCGGGGTCAGTTGCAGGGTGAGGAGAAGCTGATTGAAGCCTTCCGCAAACTGATCGAGACGGCTATGGAATATGTAGCAGCCATCAAGGAGTTCATTATCATCAATATAAAGGCAATCGAGGAGTGCACCTACCAAACTTTTGAGGTGCGGGACAGTACTTGCAAAAAACCGAACGCAGACAAGAAGTAAAATCATCAACAATATACCTAACCAACACTAATCGAAGAAACTACAATAGTAATGCATCATGATTTCATTCCAATAAATTGATAGTTATACTGAAATCCGGAAAAGATGGTATTTAATTTAATGTGTACATATGTTTACTTAGTTCGAAGAATGTCTCTTTATTTTGATATGTGGCTGATGGATGAAATGGGAAATAGAATGTGATTTAAAAAATACTTTGGAAATAGTTAAGGGGTTTCACTCAAAAATATATAAGTTAGTTGTTGGTGCAGAGAGATCCTTAATCCTTATCTATATTTGTTGTTTAATACGAGAGGTTCTACATAGGTTGGTCAGCATATAGCAATCAAATGTTTTTCAAGGTGTTTTCTTCGCAATTTGGGCTAGGAATATATATTTCTTTCTTTCTCATTGGAGTCATAGCGATTGCTGTTATTTTTCGACTCTACTCCTAATGTCAGGGCATGCCTATTGCTGTAGAAATGTTTCGTAAGGATCACCGATTTATTTATCTGTGATTTGTGGCCAATTTATGGCTTATTTTATATTGTTGCTATTTTTTATAGGCCAATAGTGGAGAGGAAAAAGGAGACTTCTCCATTAATACAATTCATAATAAAAGCGCTCTGTAAAAAAAAATAAGTAAAAAGTTTGACAAAAAACTGTCAACTAATTCCAATTCTGCAAGAATAACCAATTCCTTTAAGAAGAAGAGCAGTTCTATCGTCGCATTTCATTTCAAATTTTAATGGTATTGTTAAACAAAGTATAGATTAATAACACTCATACAATAATAAAAAATGTTCATATTCAGCCTTGTTCGATTGAATTATACGAAATTATGATAGAGTTCGTAAACGGGAATAGGCTTGGTATATTGATTGGAATTTCTTCGAGCTTATGTTGAAGGTTGTAAGCCTTTAAATTCTATCAAAGGGCATTGTCTATTCCTGTTTCGAAAATACAATTCTAACAATTTGTTCAGACAGGCAGTTGTAAAGTAATGCTTTCACATGGTTGCGGTTATGGCCTTCTCTGAGAATGTTTGCCAATTAAGTTTCATCTCAGTGTATTTGTTATGCAATATATATGTACATGATCGTGTATATTTAATTGTATGGAAGTGGAGTTATTTTGTTGCCTACATAGAGCAATGGATGATAAGTAACGTTACTATTTTATGGGTCAATTTGCGGATGCCCATTGCGCCAAATGCGAAATGCCAATCCATATGCTAAAAAGCCGCAAAATTAAAGGAAACACACTGAGGGAGGCAGGCAGGCGGCCGACGATCAGTAATAGCGCTGATGATGGCGACTAATCAGCCATACAGCTTACAAACCACTGAGCCGCGTAATTGCGACGCAGTGGCAACGCCAACAAACCGGAAAGAGAGAGAGATAGAAAGAGAGTGCCTACGAACGCTGCTAAGGCAGCAGTCGATGCAGCCGTCAGTGCGTTCCAATCACAGTAGCAGACCCAGGCTCAGAGAGAGCTTCGCCTCAGCGTCACGCGTTAGTTTGATTCCGAAGCTCGAACGTGTTAGTTGGCGCAGCTTTAGTCGGCGGGCAGTGCACAAATAGGAGAACACAAATAACACTTCATAAACAATTTCAAAAAGCGCAGGCGTGCAACGGTTATTTTTTTTCAACTGTTGTGCGATTTCTTGGCGGATGTGGTCGCATTTCTTTTGTTTTTTTTTTTCAAGTGAACAAAAAAAGCAAATATCAATTTTTCGTTCGTGCTTACAATTGTTGAAGTGTGAAAATTTTGCGAAAAATATATGAAATATGTGAACAACAAATATAATAAAAAAAAGGGGAAAGAAAAGAAACATATTCGTTACAACAAGCAGCATAAATAAGAACAGCAGAACACACAGATATAGGTAAATATATAATGCACTTTTTGTTGTTGTTTTTTTGCTTTGCATTTGATTTTCTGAATTTTTCTTTGGCCAAAAAAAGAAAAAAATAAAAAACTTGGCTGACTGGCTGGCTGGCTGACAATCCCAGCTGACATACATACAGCAGCACACAGCTGCAACAATAACAACAACAACAACAGCAACTAGATATAACCTCATTAAAGTTGTCGCTGTTGTTGTCCTCATTTATCCGGGCCTTGGTGTCCGCCAGGCCTTCTCCTTCTGCACCTACTCCGCCTCATCCTCCTCCTTCAGTCAGGTTTCAGTCATACATCCCAGTTGGCTCAGTCAAGCGCCTCCGATTATTGAGCCGTTTGACTTTTTCTCAGCACTTCGATGAACGTCAACGAACAACGAACCTGTTGCTGAAGTAGCAAAAAATAAAAACTTTAAAAACATGAAGAATAAAGTCGCTGCCTGCCTGCCTGCCTCTAGCAATATACTTACAGTGGCTCACAGCTTATTTCAGCCAGTTGCTGCCTCAAAATTCAAAGTTCTATCAATTCTAATAAGCCCATGGCTTTATGGTTAAAGTAGATACGCAAAATGGTGCTTGTATGTTTAAAATATACAACGAGTAAGATGTTAAAGATGTGCCCCATTCTTGACATACCTACCCTTTTCCCCGCTAAGAAATATTCTTTGTTGCACCGATCGATAAATACCAAATTGGTTTAATGTATATATTTATTAACAAAAAATTGGTTGGTACTTAGATTGATTTCTGCATTAAAAATTTCAATAACAGCTATATGATATAGTAAGCCAATTTTGATAAATATTGACAATATCCGACTAATTGGTTTATGATATTTATATAAACAACCAAGTTATCATATATATGCTATATATAATAATGACGATATATATAGCTTAGTAAGACCAGTGTGTGGCACCAAGTTTGTTGCCCCTAGCTGTTATGGTTTAAAAGTTCTCTGTGTTCATACAGTCGAACAGTGGTCCGAAAGGAATGGACATGTCTATATACACTCGTTTTATTATGCGGACCATATATAGCATACCCTGCCTTCTGTAAACTGCCTGCATCCTTCGGCAAAAGGGTTTTTAATTAACAATATTTTTGCTGGTATTACCCTAAAAACAAAACAAAATTAAGTGCCACAAGCTGTCATATCAAAAAGTGCATTCATTTTCTTTTCGATATTAAATTTGTAACCTAATTAGATTTTGTTTTAATTTTAGTAATAATTAGTTTTATAACATTGTTATTGTTAAATGAAATTGCAACTTTTTGAATCAAATCAAAGTTTCTCGTACTTTCTGAAGTACGTAATCTTCCAGAATTTTACTTAAACTGAAGGAAATAGTCTCTGAGTCACTGTATGTGCGAGGCAATCAAGGTAGCTTTTTCTTTTTATTTATTTTATTTAACTTATTTATTTATTTTTTGTTGCCATGAACTTGCCGTCCCGCAGCGGCTTTACAACAATTTGCGTTTGGTTTTGTTCCTATTACTATTATTATTATTTTTTTTTCTTTGCGTACTAACGCATCATTATTATCATCATTATAATCATTGTCGCGTTTTTTAAATCTACAATTTGTTGTTGTTACATGCGGAAAAGCAATTGGAAGTGCGTGACGCGCGCATGCGCGCCATTAAGGACAAGTGCTAGAAACAATAACAACAACAACAACGACAACTAAAAAACAACATTAATATAATGCCATTTAAAAATCGTAGAAGAAAAAAAACGAAGTAAATGTGAAGGCTGAAGTGGAGCAGAGCAAGAAATTCACTTTTTTTTGTAGTTTTATTTTTTATTTTGTATTTTAATGACATGTTGGGGGCGCAGGCGCAGAACGAGTGGTGAAAATCAACATACAGGTTATACAGATTTATGATCTTTTTTTTTATATACACATGCACACACAGATACACATTCAAAGGCAGATATGTTGCGGCTTTATTTAGGTGAAGCTTGATGCTTGAAGATTGAAGATTGAGTGAAAGAAGTGAAAGAAGACTTCGACTCGCCCCCAAGGCACATACTCGTACTCGTATGTATTCGTACGCATTTGAAGCGGCTTATGGTCAGCTTAGTACTACATAGTTGGCTATTTGGATCAGGCTGGCCACTCATATTTGCGCAGCAAATTGGAAAGAAAGCAGACATTAGCTTCAAGGCATTCAAGCATTCGCAATAAATTCTCAATTATCGCTTTAAGCTCTCTAAGTATAGGCAAGCAATTATTGGATTTATATATGATCTTTCGATCGACAATTTTATTATTACAAGAGCTGTGCTCCTACCAAATTTTTAGAAAATACTGACTACCAATATTTGTTTCAAAATATCCAATAAAATTGGAAAGATAGCAGACATTAGCTTCAAGGCATTCAAGCATTCGCCATAAATTCTCAATTATCGCTTTAAGCTCTCTAAGTATAGGCAAGCCATTATTGGATTTATATATGATCTTTCGATCGATAAATTCATTTAGTATTTCATTAAAACCACCACGTTTTAAGCAAATATGACGACCAATATTTGTTTCAAAATATCCAATATAATTAAATAGTGCAAGTTGCTTTTGAGAACTAATACTTATTACCGCTACTTAGTTAAACTAACTAGCATCAAAATTGTTGTACAATTAATATAGTTGGTATTTCAAAAAATCGCAACCAGCTCTAATTAATAGTTTATCGATATTATGCCAGCTCTTCAAGTTCAGAAGTAACTTTTTGTATCTAAATAAAAAGTAATTATAATTTGTTCAAATATGTATTCAGTTAAGTTTTGGAAATCAGCTTTATTTTGCTGTTGCTAAACTTCAAGAAACAAAATTATGTATGTATTGAGATGTATTTCGTTATTTTTCGGTGCTTTCCTCAGTTTGGAATTGAAGCTTTTCAAAGAAAATTTTAGAAACATATTTTTTTAGCTAAAATATTCGTTTTCCATTAAATTAATCGTTTGTTTAATTGGTTTGGTTTGGTCGGATCATTTTCATTTCATTTCATTTTGTATTTAGATAAAATACTAGCGTTGCCACTTATTCAAGAAACGATGAAATCTTGAATCAATGCGATCAATGCATAGTTTGTGATTAACAATTAGCTGTCAGCTGTTCCACACAAAATGCATTGAATTTAATCAAAATAATCAATGCAATGTTTTGGAAGAGTTCAATATATCCAAGATAGGCATTTTTGCTTTTATAACACATTTTATTTTCCAAATATGTATTGAATTCTATGTTTTTGCAAAGTTTTTATTTGAGGGCCATTTAAACTGTGAAAAAAAAACAATTTAAATTAAGAACAGCATACTTTTAGGGCATATTTTTCGGTTCTGTTGGCTATGCTGGAGACACACAATCATTTTAAAGTGAAATTTAAAGAAAAGTGTAGAAAAAATTTTTTTGCAGATGAAATATTTAAATAAGTTATAAATACCATAGGGACGAGAAAAAATTTTTCCTAATGGTTGTTTGTATGCTTTCAAGAAAACTATTTAAGTCAAAAGTTCTACTAAAAATCGGTTTTAGAATTCTTTTTTGTGACCTTTTGTGCTCAAATTATTTACATGTCCGACTCCCGCCTAATATTAAATTGCATTTTAAAGCTTTTTTTTTTAAATCGAATCTCACATTTAACTAATTGAATTTTTACACTTAGCTGTCTTAGTTATTGTTGGGTACTATTTTGGCAATATAATTAATCAATAATAATTAAACAAAGCAGACAAATGACTTATTTTCACGAACGATTTCAATGTTCAGTCCGATTGCCATGCATTAGTTTTTGCGTTAATGGGAAATGTACCAAAAAATAAAATGATTGCCTCTATGCAATACATATGTACGAGTATGTACGTATGTATGTTTGTATGTATGTGTAGCGGAGTACCTAGAGTTTTTGAGAGCTTGTATAGTTAGAAACAAATTAGGGGCAACAAAAACGGCAAAAAACGACGTCATTTTTTGTGCGGCCACGGTTTGGTAATTTGAATATTTTTGGATAGTTATGTGCTTTCTAAGCAACACCCACTGACCAATATATGTATTTTTGTTGTTGCTATTGTTGTTGTTATATGGTTCATTGCTTTTGTTTACCAAAAATAAATCAATGGTAAAGGGGCTTACAAGCAGTATGCGGGCAATTTCAAGAGCAGCAACCAATTTGGAATAAATGTACATATGTAAGTAGTTTGGCAAAATGTGTGACTGTACACTGAAAAAAATAAAATAAATACGTGACTGTGCACAATAAAGCAGGAAATGTTGCTATTGGAAATCGAACGGGAAATTAGAGAAATACTATAGCCAGCAGATCGCACAACAGCTTTCCAAAGGAAATAAAAGAGAACTTTCAGAAGTAACTTCTTAATGATCCCATAAGTAAATCTATATATCTTCATTCATCATATATTCCCAGATCGTCAAACGTACGCATAGATTTTCTGGTAAATTAGAATAATAGAGCAGATCGATGATATGACTTTAATAAATATATAGTATGGAGTGGCGATTGAAACAGACGAATGATAAAGGCACTTATAGTTCGTCTAAAGGTTCCTATAAGTTGCCTTAGCCTTTTACGTATGATTATTATTTAACTTTTTAAATCGTTATTTATTCATCGCCTTCAAAGTAATTCCCTTCGAATACAATGCACATATTTTTTAAAGTTTTTTTTTAAAGTTCTCTAAGCAGCCTAACAAATTCTTTTCTGGACTGGCCTGCTCCGGTGCGTGAGAGGTATTTTCAAGTCCCACGTTGAACGATATATTTCTTATTTTTGGTGAAAAGATCACGAAGAACGTGTAGATTTTTGCAGGATTTTGCGAGGCACAAAAGTTCTCCTAAAATTCTGCTGATTGTTCCATTAGAAATGGACATTAGCAATGTTTCTAGAGCCCCAATTCTTTGATATGGCCAACGTGTTGTTCATCTTGGATGTGGTTCGTCTTTAACACTTACCGTCGCTATAT